TTATTTTTTGCTATTTCCTTCAAAGCAGCTTGAACTTCTTATACTGTAGAATTTTTTTTTCTTTTCCTTGTCTAACCAAAGATTTGCTTAGTCATAAAAAGGAGAAAATTAAGACCTTTGGTTTGTCCCCGCTGTATTTAAGATCATCTCAAGAGTAAAAGTGATGAAATGAACACTGATAACTGAAGACCTGGCAGATTGTGGGAGGGAGGACAAGGTCATCATGAAGAAAGCAAATCTTTGAAAAGATAGAAGGAAGAAAAGACCAAATATTTGTCAGCAGACACTCTGAAATTTGCATTAGAATGGAAAGAGTCCAAAACAAAGGGAAGAACAATGCTTGTAATAAAATCCCTTATGTTCTTGCATTGATTTCGGCTCCCTGGTGTCCTTTAGGGGACTCGCGATTGTGGCACAACATTTATTGTCTCCAACACATGCACCCCATTACACCAATCACCGAGTCAATCCATCTCATCAAGGGTCTTCCTCTCCTGCGCTCTCCCTCCAGCCTCCTAAGCATGGTATACCTCTCCAAGGACCTGTCCCTCCTTGCAATATGCCCAAAGTATATCAGACGGAGCTTTAGAATCCCTGCCTCCAAGGAGCAGCCTGGTTTTACCCTCTCTAGGATGAAACTCCTTGTTCTCTATGCAGTCCATGTCCTAGATTAAAAAATTTGGAAGGTAGCTACCTGACCTTATAGGCATAAGGACTGTAGGGATCAGTATTTGTTCCCATACCAAAAAAAGGAACTCCAGCGGAATGTAGTAATTATTGAACAGTATTGTTAATACCACATGCAAGTAAAATCTTGCTGAAGATTATTTTATAACTACTGGAAAAATGAATTGAAAGGGAACTACCAGAAATCCTAGCTGGATTCAGTAGAGGCCATGGAATGTGAAGAATGTAATTCCTAAAGCCAGGTAGATCTTGTCTAAAAGCAAGAAATACCAGAAAGATGTTTGAGTTGTATTGACTCAAAAGCATGTAAGTGCAAAAGCATTTGACTGAATCATGCTATGGAACAAATTATAACTAACATTTGAGAAGCATGAGGATCCCAGAATACTCCTCTTTAATCCGATGAAAGCTTTACATAGACCAAGAAGTAGTTGTCCAGACAGAACAAGAAGATACTGCATGATTTAAAATCAGAACAAGTGTGCATCAGGAATGTGCCCTTTTTAGCATATCCATTTGGCCTGTGTGCTGAGGACATCATTCAAGAAGATAGACTTAAAAAAAAAAAATAAAAAAAAAAAGATGAACTTTGTAAAATATATGACATCAGGATTGGACAAAGACTTAACCAACATCCTGTGTTAGGAAGATGATATAATCTTTCATGCAGAAAGTGAAAAAGAATGGAAGCACTTGGTGTAAAAGATCAAAGACTACAGCTTTCAGTATGGGTTACATCATAACATCAAGAAAATAAAACGGCCCTCATTACTGGCCAGGAGGCCACGTAATGATGATGATGTGTGCCACTGAGCCAACTGTGACTCATTAGCGATGATTTTGAACCTTGCCCTATACTGAGTCAACCTCAGTCTCCCAGCACACCTGACCCCATTGCCACAGTCACTGTCCATCTCATCCAGTCTTCTCTTGTGCTAACCTTCAACTCTTCCAAGCAAAATATCCTTCTCTCCATGGACCAACCCCTCCTGACATCATGCCCAAAGTATGTGAAACAGAATTTCAAAATCTTTGCCTCAACGGACCGAACCTTGTTTTTGTGTGTGAGCAAAATTTGTATTTAGAATAAGCCAGCTGGACTCAGTGTAGATGATCTCAGTTTTGTTGGCAGCATTCACAGCATCACAGTCAGGAGCAAGTTGAAGATAGGCCTTCTCTCCATCAGGCCTAATCAAAGTGTTGACCTTAGCCACATCAGTGTCATAGAGCTTCTTTACAGCTTTTTAAATTTGGGGTTTGTTGGCCTTGACATCCACAGTGAATACAGTGTGTTATCTTCTGTCTTCTTCGTGGCTGACTCAGTGGTCAGGGGAAACTTGATGATGGTGTACTGGTCAAGCTTGTTGCTCCTGGGGGCGCTCTTCCAAGGGTATTTGGGCTGCCGTCAGAGTCTCAGCATCTTAGGCCCCTGGAAGGTGGGCGTGGATGCCCTTCAGGACTGCCTTCTTGGCCTTTAATGCCTTTGATTTGGATTCAGTTTTGGGAGGGGCAGAGAGGAAGATAGAACTTTTTGTTCTCTTGGCAGTCCATTGTATGTTCAGCACTCTTCTCCAGTACCATAGCTCAAAGGCATCATCTTCTGCGATCATCCTTAGTCATTGGCCAACCCTCAGATGCATCGGAAGCACTTGAAAAGACTATAGCTTTGATCCATGGCATCTTAGTCTTTAGACTGACATCATTGCTCTTTATCACTCTGGAAAAGTCTCTGGCAGCAGATAGTCCCAATTTGATTTCCTGGTTACTGATGTCAAAGGTATTGATTGTGGGTCCAAGTAATATGAAATCGTTAGTCCATCTGCCATGATGGCCTGGTTGGAGGATTTTTGTTGTGTTGATGTTATGCAGCCCGTATAAGAAGTCCTTGCTCTTCTGCAGCAAGTACTTGCAAGAAGATTGTATCATCTGCATAATGCAGGTTGTTGATGAGTTGTTCTCCAATCCTGATACCACATTCTTCTTCATAAAGTCCAGCCTCTCAAATGATCTCTGTTCACAGTATGTAGATTGAAAACGTGTGGAGAAAGGATACATCCGTGATCCACTCCTTTCTTGATTTTGAACCATGCAGTGCTCCCTTGCTCTGTTTGGACAACAGCTTCTTGGGCAGTATATAGGTTTCATGTACTCATAATTAAGTGTCCTGGGATCCCCATTCTTTTCAGTGTTAACCACGGTTTGTTGTGATCCACTCAGTCAAATGCCTTTGCACAGTTGACACACAGATAGACGGCCTTCTGGTACTCTCTGCTTTTAGCCACGATCCATCTGCCAGCAGCAGTGATATCCCTAGTGCCATGGCTTCTTCCAAACCCTGCTTGTATTTCTAGAAGATTCTTTTTAAAAAATACATAACCTTACAATTGTGAGGAAACTAGACAAACTTGAGGTTCTACAAAATAACAGATTGGAACGCTTAAAAAATGCCCAGATCATGAAAGACTGAAGAATCAATGAACTGAAAGAGACAGATTGCAATGTGGGATCTTATGGGAAGCCAATGCTAAATATTTGTAATAAACTGAATGCTATTTCAGGATGTGGGGGAGGCAGGGTTCAAGCTAGAGTTCACCCTGAGGCATTAAGTCAATCCTTAAGGGTTTACCAGATTCTTGCATTTGCTAACCCCTCCCTCCTGAGTCTAGCAGAAGGTTTTCAATAAAAAGAGTTTGGCTTCATTTGCATTGAATTCTCTTTGTGATTTACTTCCAGATAATGTTCAGTGAAGATACAGAGGAGCTTGGCTTGGGGTCTTCAGTTAGAACTGCTGGCCCCCTGTTTTATGCTCACTGTTCTATCTCATACCTGGCTGTATGTCTCATTATTAATAATTATAAAATTACTTTACCCTCGGTCTGCAACAGGGTCTAAGCAGGCATTAAATTTAAAAGCTTTTGAGGTCTAAGTTAAGTCTAAATAATATTGTACCAGTGCTGATTTCCTGGTGTTAATAATTCGTTGGTGAGGTGTTTATATCAGATTAGCTGTGTGAGACACCTAGGACAGCTCTTTACTAATTTTGGCAGCTTTCCTGGTAATTTAAAATTCATCCAAAATGTTAAGTTTTAAGGAAAAGTTTTAAAGGACTGGCAAAGATTTGTTGTGTTGGTTTTTTTCTGCTCTTTACAACAGGATTAGAAAGAGGCAGATGGAGCAGAGGGAAGAAACCATAACGATTGACCGTGTATGCAGACAGGAAACGTTCGCCTACGAGATGGTAAGAGGCATGGCTTTCCCCCTTCCCACCTCAGCAGTGATGTCGCTGACATGGGTTAAGTCTTGGCAGTGCCTGGGTGTTCACCTCATATTGGATGTACTTAGCTGAAAACCATGAGAAAAACTTCACTTGGGCTGAGAACAAGAGGGAATAAAATTCAAATGACCTTGGAATGATTGCCTTGGTGGCTGAGTGCTAGGCTGTTAACTAGAAAGTTAGCATTTCAGACCCACCAGCAGCTCCGGACAAGAAAGATGTGGCACTCTGCCCTCATTACGGCTACAGCTGTGGAAACTGAGGCACTTTTGACTCGTCCTTTGGGGTGTCCGTGAGTAAGAAGGGATTTGGTATCAGTGAGTAGTGTGGTTTATGTAGGTGACTCTTTTTCAAAGCTGCTTTCCCCCCTCCTCCCTTTGCTTTAAACTCATGCCATTTTACCAGCTTACTCTTTCCTCCTACCCCTCTTAATTCTGGTACAGTTTAAGGCTTTTTGGGGATGGAGGGATGGGTCTGGAAGAGATTAGTGCAGTGAACCTTTCATTTATTTTGAAAGAACAAAGAAGTGGGAAGGGACTGTTTGAACAGCGAAAGGAGACAGCTTTCCTAGGGAGAAAGCTGTGGGTTTTTTCTCCTTTCTCCCGTCCACCTTGCTTCTCATCTCTAGTAACCCCCCCCCAAGATTAATTCTGTGTAGAAACCATTTCTTAGCTCTTTATAGCATTTCATTTATCCATTTTCCCATTGATTCTTAGGCTATTTATAGTGTTGCCATCAGCATGAGGTAAGTCAGATTGTGGTGCAGTTGTTTATTCCCTGGGATGTATGCTTCATTGTGGGGTTGATGGACTGAATGCTGCTTCTATTCCCTATTTTCTAAGGAAGCAGCAAACTGGTTGCACCATTTTACATTCCCACCAGTGGTGTATGAGAATTCTTACCTCTCCAGATTCTTGCCAGCATTTGTTTTGTGTCTTCTTGAACATGGCTATTTTTGCTGAGACGAGAGCTCCTTGTTTGGATTTCATTTCTCTGGCGCCTTGTGGTAAAAAGCTGTGCTGCAATTCTGAAGGCACACGGTGCGAGGCGATGAGCTGCTTTACAGGAGAAGGATGGGCAGTCTCTTCCCATGCGATTAGCTGTCTCTGAAAACTCCCAGGCGGTCAGCTGTGAGTCGGTTCTGCCTCTGTGGTACATGGTACACAACAGCAACAGTGGTCTACTGGTAAGAAGCTGTGCTGTAATCCCAGAGGCATGCAGTTCGAATCCACTAGCAGCACTGCAGGAGAAGGAAGAAAAATCTCCTTGCTGTGATTTACTGCCTCTAAAAACTCTCTGGAGGGTCAGTTGTGGGTCTGTTCTTTCCCAATGGCACACAACAACAGTAGCTATTGATCTTGAGATTTTGAAGATATTCTTAATCCTCATTCATTGCAGACAGTATTTGGTGGCACTCCCCAGTTGAAACAAGCTTGGAAGCAGGAGTGGCGTCCATTTCCGTAATAGCTTGCCTCTGGAAAACCTATGAACCTGGAGAAACGATGAAAGTCACACGAGTGTTGAAGACTTTCCTTCATAGGGTCACTATGAGTCACCTGACAGCACTTAACAGCAGCAATTCATTGTCATGTAAAATCTTTGATACAGTTTAGGTTGGGGAGTACTGAATAATTTCAAGCTAGTAGACATGATGAGTTCATTGAGTAAATTTTCCTGGCACACCTGCGTGTCACACACTGCTGTGCGCTGGGTAGTACCTCTTTTGTACCTTTTTGTCGTGGCCACTTCACTCTGATGAGTTCTTCCTCATGGTTGCTTAGCACATACACAGGTCTGATACCTGAGCATGTCCTCAGAAGCCCTGATGGCCTAGTGGGTCAGGAATTGCTGGCCGTTCACCCTCACCAGCTGCTCCTCGGGAGAAGGATGGTGGCTCCTTACCTGAATTTATAGCCCCTGAAAACCTGCTGCATGATCAGCTCTGAGTCAGTCTGACTTGTTGGTCACGAGTAACAGCATCAAACATGCCAGTGATGTAAAGTATCAGGGACTTTAGAGCAAACACATCTGTGTGTACTTGCATCTTAATTTTGGTGTGAACTTGGATGTATCTGAGCTTCAGCTGTAAAAGAGCTCAGAAATAAAAGGAGATGGAGGGACGTAGAAGCTTTAGTAACTATGAAGTGCTAGAATTGTGCCAACAGTGAGGAGTCCTGGGGCACACATGGTTAAGAACTCAATTAACCGCCTCCCCCAAAATACCCTCCCCCACTCCCCAGGCTCTGAAGGAGAAAGATCTGGAGAACTGCTCACCTAGAGATGAGAAGAAGACTCCATGGGGACAATTCCACTCCGTCACATGCAGTTGCTATGAATGATCACATCTAACAACATGCCAGCTTTGGATAATATCTGTTTTATTATCAGTCACTAGTTTTATTATCACATACTGACCAGTTAGTGACAGATGTCCTGTTAGATGCTTTCTATACACATTTCCAGCATCAGCACTATATAGTAAGTGTTTTCTGTTTGCTTTTGTTTTTTCCTTTCTTTAACACAGGTGAAAATAAAGCTTAGGGTGATTTAATGGTTCCTGAGGTAGGCTTGATCCATCCTTTGCTCCAGCCGCACGCTGCCTCTCCTGTGAGTCCTGGGCCTCTGCCAGCTCTCTTACTTTAGTGCTTTTATTCCCTCAGGAGTCACATGCCATGGGGAAAAGGCCTGCGAACCCAGCAGACCTCGTTCCAGAAGGGGAGCTTATCCTCTCTCTGAATATCTTGTACCCTGTTATATTTCAGAAGGTCAGTGCTAACAACTTTGCAGTTTCACAGATCATGTAACTTTTGTCCTAGAGTCTAGATTTTGAAGAGTCTCAGGCCTTAAGCTTCAGTACAGAAATGTGAGTGTATGGTATCAGCATGATTTGCAGAGGTGAGTCTTCGTGGATTCCATGTTTGAATGCAGAACATTGGAAATAAAGTAAAAATTGGAGTAACTTCTGTGTCAGAAGCAATACAAAGTGTATGTAAATCCAAATATATTCTGTAAGGGTTTTGTGGATTTGGTGGGGGTGTGGGGGGGGATTCAAGAAATTAGGTGATCTTTGTTCACCATTTCAGAATACTTTGGAAATTCTTTAACTATGTAAAACTTGTTGATGAAAATACAAAATGTGAAGAATTTAGAGTACCCAGAAATTTCTGAGTGACTCCCAGAGTGAATGACTTCTTGGTTTAGATGTACCTGAAATAACAACACAGTTTAATTGAAATGTTAACTGTAAGCATTCCGTGAGTTAAGGACGAGATCCATTCCTAACTGTCTTTATGAATTTGTAGTTGGCATGTATACATATGGTTATTATTTCAGTCTTTCATTAGTGCAGGGAAAGGCTCAAAGCCTTTTTAGTTCTTTAAAAGCTCCCTGTGCAGTAAGAGAAAGTGATTGTGGTGAGGAATGTGCTATGGGAATAGGCATTGGTTCAGTCATTTCCAAGTTTGCCTGACATTAAAGGGCAATTGTGTCTAAGTGGATCATTCGTAACCCAGAAACTGCCTGTGTACAAATAATGACTTAGTAAATAAATAATTACCTGGGATGTAATTAGTACTAATTAGGTTGTTTCTGTGTAGAAATGTTCAGAAGACCAACAACACAAAACAGATTAACTTAATGAAAGTAGCTTTCAGGAAGTTTTAGGAGAGAACTGCTAGATGAAATTCTGTCCCAGAGTTTTTTAAGCTAAGGCCAACTTAGAGCCTTTTGATTATTATCTTTAGCTTAAATTTTAGACAGTAATGTAACATAAATTTGACCATGGCAGATTTTTGTTTTTATAATGACTTTCTGTCCAAGTAGAAACTGAATTATTTGTCACTTGACTTCTAGCACAAAGAACACAAACCGTACTAGACCGTCCTGGTCCTGGGCAGTCAGAAGCTCACAGAACTGGGGGATTCCATCTGCTGCGTCAGTGACCTCCAGATTGGGGGGGAATTCAGCAACACGCCTGACCAAGCTCCTGAGCACATCAGCAAAGTAAGCAAATTCTTCCCCCATAAAAAGAGAGGAACTGCTAAGCAGCTAAGGAAACAGCCCATCTTTTTCCTGCAGAGTAACTGATGGATTTGAAATGATCACTTTTGGATTGATAACACAACTCTCAACCCACTAGGCCACCAGAGCTCCTTAAGCATTTTATTAAATGTTTCATTCTTCCATGGCTTTCCATTAAGCTACTAATCTTGTCATTTTTGGATTACAATCACAGTGACTGTCTACTTCTGAGCTTGACTCCTTAGGCTGGCATCTGAGGCTTTGCTGCCTGTTTTTCACACTTTATGCTTCAACCACAAATTTGTGTATCCTTCTGATGTGACCTTTTCATGTCTTGAGTGTTTGAATGTGGCCCTGTCTGCCTCGTGAGTGCATACTTATATTTCCAAACTCAGCTCAAGATTCGCCAATAATTACATAAATTTTCTTTTCTCTAACTTTCCTCTCTGGCCAACATAGCACCTTTTTGTTAGTTCATTATAACACTATAGCACTTATGGATCCATCTGCACTACAAGTCTGGGATAAAGCTAACTCTAAAATGTAATATATCTTGCTACAGTTTATTTGTGAACTGTAATAATTCAAGAATATTTAAAATATATAGAGAAATCATTTTAAGTATTTTCTAGTCAAATTTGAAAAAACAGTCCCTTCAGATTTTAATCTGTAGGTTTAAGCATTGCTCAGACTACTTTTTTTTATCAGTAATCTGTTTAGTGTCTTTTCTGGAAGAATGCTAAGGTAATAGTTTAATACACTAATGATCCTCTTATTATACAGCATTTACTGTAAAGGGAAAACAGCATAAGTTTTGATTTGTAAAAATATCCTTACTTTCTCTTTGACTCTACAGTTACAGATTTTTAGGAATATTTCTGATATTAATACAGCTGATTTGAATGTTTAACAAGAGAGAAAATTGGCTAACCATGGTTAGCCATGGTGGATAGAGTTTGGTAGCGCTCCCAGATTAAGACAGAGTAGGAAGCAAGATTGACATCCATTTCTTAGATAACAGGCCTTAGAAAACCCTATGCACACTAGAGGAATGAGGATAGTGAAGTGTGAGGATGGCACAAGGTGGGACAGGGTTCAGATCTTTTTGTTCACAGGGTTGCTGTGTCCTCAGCTCAACAGCACCTGACAACAAGAAGTGGTTGCCATAAGACATACTCAGCAGCACTTGACAAGTAGTTGGCCAACAAGTGCTAAAACGTGTGTGTGTGTGTGTGTGTGTGTGTAAGTAAAAGGGAAATAGTAGTATTAGACTCTTACAAATCCATTTGGTTTAATAAGAGATAGAACTTTTTATACTAGTTTTTCTTTGTTGGCTGATTATCCCCTTCCCTCCCCCACAAGCTTATCAGCCAGACTCGCTGAGGTCCTGTCAAAAGTAGGGAAACTACTGAGGATTTCTCATTATTACTGAGACTGAAAGTTCATCACTGTTGAGACACAGATTGTTCATAGCTTCTGTTACCCATTTATATACTAAGTAAATGAAAGTTGTTAGTGACATGATTTAAATGGGAAGCATTTTTCTTGAGTTTTTCTTCTAAAATCCTTTTTTGGGGGTAGTCTGTTCATAACTATGAGAATGCATTGCTATCAAGTTGAATCTGACTCATAGAGACTATAAAACCGACTAGAACTGTCCCCTTAGGTCTGTGGCCTGTATGGAGATGGACAACTTCCTCTTTCTCCAGCAGGGGCGCTGATGAGTTCAAACCTCTGACCTTTGGTTAACCGCCAAGCCCTTAACCATGGCACCACCAGGGCCTCTTTCAAGAACATTAGATTGCTTAAAATCACTTAAGATGAAATTCTGCAGGAGCATTTTATGTTTGTTTGTTTTTTAAATTTATTATTTTTGTGTGTGTACCATCAGATCTGACTGGTACAGGAGGAGATTGTCCCTCCTCCCCGGCAGAGCATCTGGTGGGTTCGAACCGTGCACCTCTGGGATTGCAGTGCAGCTTCTTGCCACTAGGCCACCAGAGTTCCGTGCATTTTATGTTTTTGTTTCTAAGTTTCGCGTCCCATCTTTGAGGGAATAGATGTCTGCTGAGTCACAGATTGTGTGCTGTAGCTGCCAGGCATAGCATTTATAGAGCTTCATATCCTTTTATCTCTGTAATAACATGTGAAGAAGATAAGAGTGTTAGTATATTTAATTGATGAGGTAACCTGAGATCATTGAGTGAGTGATCTAAGAGCAAATAACACATTCACTCTTGATATGGTGCTGTCTAGTCCCAGCACCAAATCATCTATACGTGGTGGTTAAGTACCATTGAGTGGGCTATGACTTGTAGCCACCCTTTGAAGAGCGGATCTGAACCCGCCCGATCCTGTCCGTCCTGACCCTCTACTCAAGTCCCCCACCACAGTCACTGTGTCAGTCCATCTCATTGAGGGTCTTTCTCTCCTTCACAGACCCTCCACCTTTCCAAGCACAACATCCTTTTTCAAGGACTGTCCCTCCTAACAGCATGCCCAAAGTATGTAAGACAGAGTTTGACTGTCTTTGCCTCCCAGGAGCACCCTGGCTGCACCTTTTCCAGCACATAGTTGTTTGTTGTTTTGGCAGTCCATGGCGTACTCAGCACTATTCTCCAGCATCACAACACAGAGGCATCATTTCTTTTGCCATCCTTATCATTTTCCGGCATTCAGTTCCATAGCAAGTCATTGAAAAGATCATGGTTCTCTTCTCCAGTCTATCATGATGTTCCCTATTGGTCTGCCGGGAAGGATTTTTGTTTCTTGATGTTCTAACCCATATTGAAGACTTTCATCCTCTGCTACAGGCCTTTCAAGTTCTCATTTTCAGCAAAGAAGGTTCTATCATCTGCATAACATAGGTTGTTGATGAGTCTTGCTCTGATCCTGATGCCACATTCTTCTTCACGTAGTTCTGCTTCTTGAATGATTTGTTCAGCATACAGATTGAATAGGTACGAAGAACTGCTACATCCCTAAAGCACACCCTTCCTGATTTTAAACCATGCAGATTCCCTTGCTCTGTTGAGACAGTAGCTTCTTGGTCTAGGTCTAGGTTTCACATGAGCATAAATGTCTGGAATTCCCATTCTTCTCAATGTCAGCCATAATTTGTTATGATCCACACAGTCAAAAGCCTTTGAATAGTCATTAACATGTGGCCGCACACTTTTAAATTGACAACCATGCTTAGAAACACATTTTTTCCCAATTGTTTATGACTGCCATATGAAATTGAGGGTCAGTTGTTGATGTCGAATGATATTCCTTTTTTTGTTAATTAAAATGTGCAGGATGGCTGTAGCAGTCATTTGCATCAATGTGTTAAATACAAATTGACATTCTAGTATTCTCTGCTTTCAGCCCAGATCCATGTGACATCAGCAGTAATATCCCTCGGCTTATGCCCATAAATGGGAGAATAAGGATAAAAAGAAACCCCAAAGTAGTAGAAATTAGGTAAATGAATAAGTCATCGTACTACCTGAAAGTTATGCATCTCTCCTGTAGTTGACAGACTGCTTTGACTTTCCCCCCAACCCTGTACGGTAGCCCGACAGTGATTCTTCTTCTCCCTTTAGAACTGAAGTGCGAGTAGATTGTTATTACATACATCATTAGCACACAGGGTCGCAGCTAGTTGCCGGTAGGTCAAGTGGTCGTCTGTTTTTATGCAAGGGGCTTTGTCCAAGCCTGGGTGTAGGGTGCCAGGGTCTGCGTGCACATGAGTATCTCCGATTCCAGAGAGCTTTGGAACGTGCTTGTATCTGGACCCCATCCTCAAGGATTCTCATTCAAGGGTCTGAGGTGAGGCGAAGTCTTTAGTTATTCTTGTGTTAATAACATGCCTCCAGGATTAAAAGCCATCTTCGTGCAAAGTCTGATTGGAAATTAAAAATCTCCTGTGTGCTGCCACCCTACGACTTTGGGCAGCCTAAAAGAGGAAGAATAGAAATATACATTTGCCTGTTTGAGGGTTACTGAATAAAATACTGAGGAATGTTTATAGACGCATATTGGAAAGACAAATATGCCAGAAAAACAGAACTTGGTCAGTGTCAGGGATTTCTGGTGGCCTCGTGGCTCGGGAATTGTGCTGCCATCTCGCAGGCGGGAAGTTCTAATGCTCCTTGAGAGAAAGATGAACAGCCTCCTCCTGGGTGATTTATAGCCTCTGGAAACCGACTAGAGGGCCCGTGTCAGTCAGTAGTTACTCGACAGCAATGAGTTGAGTTTATGGTATCTTTGAGAATATGGCTTTTTCCGTTCTCTCTACTGTCCAAAATAGCTGCCACTGCTGTTTGTTTATATATAATAATTTCGGTGTTTATTCTATTTCTGATTATTTTCATATATTTCATAGATTTAAATCCAAACTAGTAATTAAAACAGCAGCAGGGTAAAATCCTGGTGTCTCACAGTATTTGTCACATACTAAATTTCCATTAAACTACTAAACTGAGCATGTTCTGTGAGGTTAATGATGTTACGTACTGTTAACCTGCATTAGTGCACATATTCTATACAAAAAGGTAAATAGAGCAGTTTCAAAATTGTTAATAGTGGGCTTTCAGCACTACTTGTTTTCTTGTAGGATCTGTACAAATCAGCCTTCTTTTATTTTGAAGGAACATTTTACAATGATAAACGATACCCTGAATGCAGAGATCTGAGCAGGTATGCTTTCTGAAAATTTTAATGTCTAGTTCTCAAAATAATTGTCAGTAAATCCTGTTACTTATGTGTTCAAACCTTTGTCCAAGAATTACAGTGTTTGTCTGTTGGGGAAAATGACACTTTCCGTTTTTCATTGTCAAGAGGTGACTCACCATCCAGGGTCCTGCTGCTGCATGATGGATGGAGAAAACCTTAGCCTTCTTAATTGTAACCTGTGTCAATCTCTTTGGTCTCCTCCCAAGGATAGAGCTGCCCAGCGGCAGTTAACTGGGTGGGCGAGTGTGTATATGCAGAAAACTGCAGCCACAGACCTTTTCTGTCTTGTAAGGATTTCTTGAACCATGATGTGTCTGTGCTCTTCCTCTCCACAGAACCATCATCGAGTGGTCAGAGTCCCATGACAGAGGCTATGGGAAATTTCAGGCTGCCAGTATGGAAGATTTCACCTTCAATGACTTGTCCATCAAACTGGGCTTTCCTTACTTATATTGTCACCAGGGAGACTGTGAACATGTTGTCATCATTACCGACATAAGGTGGGTGGCAGCACTTGGAACATTCTGTTAGCAGTACTCTTTTCTTTCTCTTTTATTTTATGGCACAGGCGTTTGGGGGAAAAAAAGAAAGGCATAAGTGACTGCAGCTTGACGTGGCTTGCCATCCAAAAGCTCGCCCTTGTGTCTCTTTGCATTCATAGGTTTGGTCATCCATCTTCATAAGATACATTTTACTGTTTCTTGACAGCCGAACATCTGTCAGTACCTTTAGTAGTGTGTGTCTCCACTTGCCTATTAAGTAGCTCTTACTCATTTGACAGTCTTCCATTTCATGTATTACGTAGACCCTTTACTTTGCACATTTCAACTTATTACCAGGTTTCTAGTATTTCATTTTTTTTTGCCAAAGTTTTCAGAAGAGGAAGAGGAATAGGAAGTGAATCCTACCATTGATGACTGAAGTCTTTATGCTTTTGTGAAGCCTGGGAAGGCTCTGAGCTTGTCTACACTGATCTGTTTAGCTGAAATCTCTGTCCTTTATGAATACAGATACCATTTATACAGTTATTTAACTGATAGGAAAACTCCTTTTAGAAATGATTCATAAATTCTACTGTCTCTAGTTTGATCCCTTTTTGGGTGTTTTTTATGGCACTTTTACTTACACTTACCCTTAGGAAAACCTCATATATTTATTTGTTCTTTAGAACACAGCCAAGGCCTTTTAAGTCTCTAAAAGTTCTTTCATTTTTTTCCAAAGGAGCTTCTGATAAAAATGACCTAGCCGTGCTTACCAAGTCTGATATTCTCTAGGGAGAGTTCAGAATCTCTACCTTTGAGGAGGTCCAGGAAGCACTAAATTTAATTATACCCCATGTGATTTTACTCTGAGGTCACTTTAGGAACCACTGCATCTGTCAGGTCCCTGTCCTATTTACCTAGCAGTTCTACTTTTGTCATATCGGTCACCTGGACATAGCACCATTACCCCTGTGCCCACCCATACACTGAGGCAGTATACACTATTCCGTGTGAATCTAGCTTGCTGGAAGGTAAAGTGCAAATGGGAGTGAACCTCCCTAATGTTAAGGAATGAAATCCCTTCCAAGGCTTCACCATCCATCTCATGAGCTCACTTTTAGAATTCTAATTTTAGGCTAGAAAAGGCCAGGATTTAAAAACAAAGTCTATAACAAATTTTGGTTAGAGGGACTATTTAACGTATCATTAATACCTTCTTAGAAAACTTCTTTAGCAAAATATATTTACTCCATTTTATTACTTAGAAAATAACACTAAAATCATCACTGCTGAAATGTTGAGTACATTACAGCAGAGAAAATAACTGAATGTGAAAGGAGTGATAGAGAATTTTATTCTTCAAAAGGTAGTAACTTGCCCCATAAAATTAGGGGGAAAAAAACTCTTTAGGGATTTTGGCTTATTGGAAGGAAAAATGCTGAGAGCAAAATTAAAATTCTTTTTGCAGCAATGTTTCTCACCAGGTAGTTAAGAGTTTAATGTATAGAATGGAGATTGATTTTTGGAAACTAAGGATGCAAGAAACAGAGGGTCAGCTAAAGAGAGGAGTTTAATGTATAGAATGGAGATTGATTTTTGGAAACTAAGGATGCAAGAAACAGAGGGTCAGCTAAAGAGAGGAAGCCCCTCAGTGAGAGGGCTTGCTGTAGTGACTGCAGCAATGGGTTTGTGCGTGTCTTAAGTTTGGATACAGTGCCAAATGTGTCTCACCTCATGGGAACATGTATTTGTCATCTTTTGTATCTTACTAGCATTTAACTTTATATGCATGCAAATAGATGTGCGCAGCAAAACCAGCCTTCCTTCTAGTCGGATGTTTAACACGGGGCATATGTAAATAGGAACTATCACCTGGAGAGGTTAGGCAGAAAAGCTCTTTCTGGTCGTAATGTAAACATTAAATATCTGCTTTACCAAAATAAGAGCTCTATTAGGGGAAAGTGAGGAGCTAAAGTCAACAGAAAGTTAAGTACCTAGGAGGTGAGTGAGGAGAGCCTGAAAGACCTCACCAGATGGGCTCCTTGAGCCATTACATTTTGCATGGGCTGTTCTTCCTGTAAAGAAGAGGGCTGTGACTTGAATAAGCATAAAGATGATCCCGGTTTCCTCACACAGCCTGTGCTCCCTGACACCCAAAGGCCAACAGGCAGATTCTTAAAGCAGGGCTAAACCAAAGAAACCATGATGTCTTCTATTCCCGAAATAAAAACAAGTTACATTCTGTCAGGGACTTTCCTGAGGAACTTGGAGAACTCACACTACAAGTCATCTTCATCTTTCTAATTTAATCACTGCCGTTCTTTACTAACCTTTTAGGGCTTTAATAATTTTTTTAGAGTGACATGGAAATTCGCTAACCTTTTCTTACTCAAATAATCTGTGACCAGTCTCATTTTACTTCCACTTAAAAATGTAATGCTTCTGAAATATCTGACACAGCAAGTTCTACAAATTCATTTACCAACAGGAGCCAAATTTAGGCTTTAATGACGATGACAATCAAATTATCTAGGAAAAGGGATGCTTGCAACCAAGTCTTAACAAAAACAGTAGCCTAATAAATCGCAGTCTCCATACTAAGTCTCGGTCAAAGATTCTAAGGGAAAACATATCTTAAAAAAATGCTACATGTCTCCCTTAGAGTAAGCACATAGCACCATAGATTTGAGAAGGCCTCACAGGAAAGAAAAGAGGTTCAGTTAAAAAAAAGTTTGTGCAGACCTGCTAGAACAAATTAGTTTTCCAAAACTTCCTGTCTTTAATAATTTGTTTTTTTGTGTGTGTGAAAGGCTTGTGCATCATGATGACTGCCTGGATAGAACACTTTATCCTCTTTTAATCAAGAAGCACTGGCTCTGGACCAGAAAATGTTTTGTTTGTAAAATGTACACTGCCAGGTAATTGATACTTTTGACTTCCTGTTATTTCAGCTATTTTCTGTTTTGGATCTGAGGATTTATACTTTGGGATATAAATATTAAGGAGATTTTATACCCTAAAAGGATGCTAATCTGTGTTTTTGTATTATTCCAGAAGTCCAGGGGCGGTCAGGTTTTAATACAGTGGTTGACTAAAGCCATAAGCAGTCTTTCTGCCTCCTTCCTACAGTCAGCAAACTCCTTCACAACTCCCCCCTCTGTGGAAGAGTGCAGTGCCTCACAGAGAGCATCGTGGCGTGCCAATCCATTGTTAGGTCCCCTCAAGTTTTTGTGGGCGTTTTCAAAGCCATTATAATGTTAGGGAAACCATCACTGCATTTTGGGCCTTCTAGAATTTTCTATATCCATTACCCTGCTTTTCAGGGCCTTAATTCCTTGTCTATTGGCTTCATGGATTTTTTTTTCATTCAATAAAATTGTCTTACACAATTCTGTTTAGCTTTCAGAAGGTGTTTCTTACTGTGACTCAGAAGAGAGTAGTGTTTAAGCAGGTGGTCCATAAGATGCAGATTCAGAGTAGGTGTCGTTTTTTTAACACCATCTCTGGCCAAAACCATATTCTAGATAATTATCTTAAATTCTAGGTGAAACAGCTGGAGTTTTCAAATTAAACAGTATTGATTAGCCAGTTAAAAGAAAGTATCAGATAGAGTATCTAAATTAGGTTTTCCTAGGTTGCCTGTGAAAGAGAAATGGCTGTGTTCATAGTAGGGGTTTAAGACAGCTATGTGATGATAACTTGTATGATGCTTTCAAATACAGATTTTCTACAGGGAGGTCTTTCAGGGAAATAGCATTCTGCAGTACTTAATGTTAGGTGTCCTTTTTGCCTATTTGTATTAGTGGTTCAATGTTTGTATGTATACAAAATATACTATTACAGGTCATAATATGAAAAATTTGATTATACTGACATCCATCTTTTCTAACAACTACAGGTGGGTGACCAACAGTGACAGTTTTGCACCAGAGGATCCGTGTTTCTTTTGTGATGTTTGCTTCCGAATGCTTCACTATGATTCAGAAGGCAACAAACTGGGGGAATTTCTCGCTTATCCTTATGTTGATCCAGGAACCTTCAATTGAAGATAATGCAAAGGAGCCTTTAGAAAACGAACTATCCTCCTGGATGGTGAGGAAAATGACCTAGTGAACAGTTAAAGCCACACGAGTCATCACGTCCTGTTTTCTAATGTACTAACAGAATTGTATTTAATGCTTTCAAACGTGAATACAGTACATATTTTCATATTTTTTAATTTTGTGCTCTTTACATGTGAATACATGTATACACTCTGAATACAAGTCCCTTGTCGGATGTATGTATTCTTTTTTCAGTCTGCCTTGCCCATTCTGTATCCAGAGCACTTTTTTTGCTCTTTGCTATCAAGTGATGAAAGTACTCTTTGAAGACTATGAGAGCTACACCTTATAACTCAAGACTTCCAAGGTATAATCTCTTTTTTAGTACTTAATAGAAATAAGATGTTATTTAACAAATAAAGTATTGTGAATCTTATATTGGGGTCTTTTGTTGCACTGTTTCTGGGTAGAAAAGTAGACATACTAAACATGTTAATGAAATTATTTCTACATACCTAATAGGTCACATTTCTTCTTAGTACATAAGTGACACTTCATTTCTAGATAAGTTTCTGTGAACCACTTTAAAATATATCCCAATTTAGTAATTGCATGATACAAAGAAATAGCATAATGCATGCAACACAGACTCTGTAGAAAGCCAGATCCTGTGACTGATAGGTCAAGTTCACGCAAGCCTTAAAACTCAGCTCTAAGAAACCCCCTAGGTTAACTCCCTATCCACAATAACCCTTGTTCAAGAATCCTTTCATTCTGAATCTTCAGAGTCTGCAGTTGTGACAATCATAGAAAATTGTTCTATTTGAGGGATCTTCTGGAAACTTTGTTTTAGGTGGAAAATTAAAATTTCACAATGCTATGAAATACTTCAATTTAAATGTATTCATCTCTTTCTCTTCTAGGTTGTATGAAATTCCTACTAAATTTCACATTTCCTTGGATGACTAAGAAAAGGCTTACCACATCAAAAACTGGTGAGGCCCACACACTTACGCAAAAGACTGGCTATGAAATGCACTTTACTGACAGAAATGCCGGACTCCCAGTTAAGAGAGTCCATGCGGAGATGCAAGTACTTGCTCCTGGTATGTCTAGTAGTGTCTCATGGATTCAGTTATATACTCACAGCTTGTGTTGTGCATAAATTTTAACTTTTGGTTAAGAAGTATCCTGATGTAAGCGACCTTAGGACTAGAAGGGTGTATAGTGCTCTGGTGGTCTACTGGCAAGTCACTGCTTGATGGCAGAAAGATGAGCAGTCTCCTCCCGTGTTGACAGCCTCTGAAAACCCAGTCTGTCAGCTATGAATCAGTTCTGACTCAACAGAACCCAACAGCAGAGTAACAGTGTGAGCGAGCAAGAGAGAATGAATGTGTCTGTATGCTGGAAAAAACTTTGATAAATACTTGATTTACCCAATTCTTTAAAATCTACAGGTAAACTATCTTTCTTTCATTAGAAGCCAATAATAGTTATACATTCTCATTTTATACTCAGTTGACTTAATGAACAGAAACAATTATAATAGGTGTTACTGCATTTTATTTCATTGAGTGCCTGATGGAAAACATTCAGCAAATCTCTATTCCATCTTCAGAGTTGAGAGCAGATTATCTACTTGCTAACAGTGGTTTAGTTCAGTTCTTCAGTTTAAGTTTCCTGGTGAAATCAGGAAGATAGATGCTAGATGGCTCTCCGCATTTGTTTGCCAGTGTGTTGTATACGAGAATAACAAGTTTGAAAATTTTGCCATGAATTCAAGGAGGATCCTCTCCAGTTAAAATCTTTCCAGAACAATTAGGTATTATCTCTAAAGATGGAATATAAACATTGATAAGCAGGTATTTTAGGGCCTTATATTCCATCTCTGGGCAGACCTCACCCTGTCCTGACACGTTCACCAGGTAAGTGTGTTGGGATCCATCCATGGTTTTTTAAGTACACTATACTTCAAACAATAGAACACTTTAGGAAAATCTTGATTCTGCTGGGTCATGCAGGCCTTAACTATTATCTACTGGTCAAAAAATATTTTTACACATACGTTTAACTAGCTCTTAAACAGGTGGTCTAGTGTATAAGAAATAGCCAATTTGCAGTTTTTTTCCTTGTGAATTAAGTCTCTGAAAACCTGGTGGAGGGTCAGCTGTGACTTGGTTCTGACTTACAAGCACATAAACAGGAAAATACACCTTAGCTTTTTTCAACTGCAGAGCTTGACCAAGTGTATTACTTAAATTGATGCAGTGTGTTTTAACATGATCTTAACACTTGTAAACATACATAATTAAAACTACAGACTGACTTTTTTGTGGATACCACTGGTGGAAAAAAAGATGGCGGACAAAAAAAAAAAACAACACACACCACCTTATGTTTTGGTTACCATGTCTACAAGCCATAAATTATGACCAGTTAATAACAAATCACTTTCTTGGTCATCAGTCTTTTGCTCTTATACACGGGGGGGGGGGAAGTAATTTACTGAGAGAATTTGGTAGAAAAATTCTTTAATCAAAACAAGTTTACACATTGACACTTATGGCTTAAATTATGCCCGAATCCAAGTAGATAATGACTGCTTTATATATAGTATAGCACAGCAGAGCTCCATCAAAACAAGGTGTCCTAGTTCCATTGTAAGAAGACCCTTTAAATGCAAAAGTCTGAAGATAGAAACTTTCTATCCAGAAACAGTTCTCCATGAGATTATATACAATGCCTGCCATCCATTTTTTTAAGCCACAGGCTTAGAACTCTTATTAAGCCATTTTCCCATATTCAGTGTTTCAAAACATGAGAAGTATCATAGCTACCTATTGAAGTCCACCAACTGACCTAATACTCAAAATAGAATGCTATCCCTTTAGTATATACCCTTAAATTTTCTGTTAGTATGGTTCATCCTGATGAATATACAAAGTACTAAAAGCCACTCTTTGTCAAAGACCTCCAAGCAACCTATTTCTACTCTGTGCAATCCTGTTGTGATATAGAAATGAAAAACCTCCTAATATAGCCATGTTTTCAAATAGGTTAGTTTCTTTATATAGTATTTACTTATATTTATGCATAAGCATTATGCACTGATTTTTTTTCCAATTAAAAAAATACTACTTAAATGATATCCTTAGTGTGACTTCAGTTTTCAAAAATAAACTTTTATCAGCTTTCAGTTTTAGCTTCTACTGCTTATTGGATCTTACATGATTAATACTCATAATGCCCGATTTCATTCCAGTATGTAACCCATAATGCTCTCTGCAGGAAACGTGATTTCACAGAATTCCCAGCCATAAAACAAAATTTTCCAAAAGTAACAGTTTTTTTTATATCTTGCAAAATTGTCAGTTCAGCTTCTGCTGGATATCTAATTGTCATACAAAAGGCATATAGACCATACATTGTTACTAACAGCTGCTGCACAATGTAGAGGGAGATAAAAAATGAACTTTTGATAAAAGGAGGGAGTGAGTACTTGTATAGAAGTAACATTTTATCTATCATAAAAATGCTCTCATCTTCAAAACCCACAGTGAAAAGACAGTCTGGTAAATCCAACATGTGTAAAAACTATGCACAAAAACCACAGTATTAGGGAAAAGAGGAAGTTATTATACAAGTAGTTTTAAAAATGCTTTACTATCAGTTACACATTCACTTACACACACTAATTGAAAATATGCTACAACCATCATGTCTGGGGGAGCAGCCTACGTTCTCTAAATGGACATCCTCCCAGATGTACTGTATTCTGGAGCTGTTAATACTGCACAAGTACAATTAGCAAGAATGCTTCATTTTAAACAAAGATAAAAGGAGTTTTACCCTCAAAAACCTATGGTTATAAAAAATGTAAAACTGTCCCTTTCTGCTGTCTGTACTGCAGTGACAACCCTGACGGACATCTCCCAGTGCCTGTGTCTGGTGGCACCAGCTTAGCTATCAAGTGTGGAGTCTCTCAGCGCTAGGTCGGTCTCTCTGTCTTCACTGGAGGACCTAGAGGGGAACAGGAAGATGTGATGACTAGATTAGGGATGTATTTCATCGCAACAAAGACACTTCATTTGTATATTTTAAAATCACGATGAACTTTGAACTATGAATTGATGCGTTTGAGCTGTGGTGTTGGAGAATAACACTGAATCTAAGAGGTGGACAATTAATAAGGATGACAGAAAAAGAATTGATGCCTTTGAGCTGTGGTGCTGGAGAAGAGTATTGAGAATACCATGGACTGCTAGGAAAACAAACAGATTTGTCCTGGAGAGGGTTAAACCGGGTAGCTCCTTGGAGGCAAGGATTCTGAGGCTCCGTCTAACATACTTTGGACATGTTGTAAGAAGGGACAGATCCTTAGAGAGGGACAGCGCGGTGGGGGGGAAGGCCCTCTATGAGGTGGATTGGTTCAGTGACTGGGGTAATCGGGATGGGAGTGTTAGAGACAGTGCAATTGGCACAGGACAGAGCAGAGTTTAGGGATGCTGTACATAGGGTCGCTATGAGTCACAAGTGACTCGATGGGACATAACAACAACAACATGAACTTAGAAAAGAAGTTTACTTCTTGAATTTGGTTATTTTAATATCATTAAAATCACCTTAGGACGGTATTGTGATTAAAAAACCTACATGAAAGCAATGAAAACGTGTCTTTACTTTTCCTTGGAGCTGGCCTCGTGGCCGTCTCTGCCGTCTTCATTGCTCTCCCCATTGTGTGGCTGATTACTGTCTGGAGCGTCAGAGCCTCCATTTACAGTCTTTGAACCTTGGAAAAGATTACAGTGGAAAACCTCAGTGATCTGAATGGAAGACTGAAATAAAAATTATACATAGCTGTGCTGTACATTCTCAGATTTCTTATGTTTAATCATTTAAAAGCCACACTGTCAAATGCAAATTGTTGACGGTCATCAAGATTATTACTTTAGTTTTTAAGCAAATTATTAGTCATGTTTCATATTCCCTGCTGGTATTTTAGGAAAAAGCTCATCATTAATGAAATAATGAACATAAATGAACTATTTACAGGCTCTCTGTCCCACTATTAACTAGGACAGACTTGAGGTCACGTGTCCCAAGACTTCACGTGAGTCCACAACTTTTTAAATTTTGTCAGAGAAGAGTTGTGTAGCTGGCGCTTCCCAGGAAGCATCAAAACCTCAGAGTCACAGCAGTAGAGTTGCAGGGAGCCTCTTAGTCTCTAAGGCTATAGCTAGAAACATGGCAAGAGATGTCACTGGTGGATCTGAACCACCAGGAAGACAGAGCCTTTTGGCTACAAACCGTAAGACAGAGTTCCCCTAGCCCTAAAACATGGGGAAATCCACAAAGAAATGCCAGGGCTCATTTCTCTTTATTCGATGGCAATGGCCCTGATTTGTTTTGTTGCAAATAAGCAACAACTGGTAACACCTGTGGCTGTTGGTGTGGATGGTCTTATTTACTGTTTAGAAAAGGGAGAGCTGTTCCAAGTCCTACAGGTGTGCCTTGTAAGGTCTTTCTCTCCCTCCCTGCAACCCTGCCCAATCTCCCAGTAAACATAACACATACCTGTTTGTTCCTTGTCTAGCTTTTTATTTGGCCCTTTCTTCCCTTGATCTTTGGTTTTGTTTGCTTCCTCGTGCTGCCTTTGTTCAGCAAGAGATTTATTCAGCACTTGGGTAATCACAGAATCTCCTTCACCAACCAAAAACATGTTCTTAAACTTGTTGTACAACATTGTAGATTTTTCCATGATAACCTGACTAACTTTGAATCGTCGTATCTGAGAAAACAAATTATTCACAGTCATAATCCTGGATTTTTACCCGCATTTTTTTAAATCCAGTAAAGCAGTATTTCAGTTGAACTGGATTAAATAGCTTTCTTTTTTGACACCGAATTGTATCTTCCATTTATACCTCAGTAATAAGCCTGTGTCATTCCTCAAAGTTTTGAGTTTGTGATAGCAGTAATTTGGTTAATTTTAACTATGTGCAATGAAGTGAAAACCCCATGCAGATAGTGAACAATTACTGAGAAGATTGTGTCAGACATGGAGACCAAGTTATCCTAGAACAGGAAACAAGATTATAATGCCCCTTTCAAAACACTGTGAACACATGTATCATTTCCATTTTAACCATTTCTAGGTGCAGAGTTGAGTGGCCAGACCTTCACCATAATTACTGAAAGGGAGGAGCTTTGAAATCACTTACTTTTTTCAGTGTTGTAATCATCTCTGTGTGTTTTTGAGCTTGCTGCATTGTGACCTGAAGTGAAGCCAGTTCATCCAAGGCCTCAATACATCTGTTGACATCCTTCATGACAAAACAATTTCACAATTGTTAATGATCCTATCTGTTCTGAAGAGCACTTTCAAACTCTCAAGTATCTTTATGGCAGTACAAAACCAGGAAAACTCCCTTTTTAAAAAACAATTCACGTACACATAAAACTATGTTGAAAAATAGGTATAAAAGCAACACCATAATCTTTAAATGAGGCATCACTTACAAGATTATCAATTTTGAGTGAATTTTTTATCTCAGCATGTATCCTTTGCAGCCGAGAATCCATCGATGTTTCTATAAATTAAAATATGTGGAAAACAATAAATAGTTTTCTAAACACCTATTTCTGAATAAATGAAAACTGATTTTGTATTTTTATTTTTTAAATTTAAGAAAGTGAACAGCAGCCTGAAATCACTATTAGGAACTGAAGCATAGAAATAAAAAGCTTGTTGCCAACAGGCTTTTGTGTGTGCTATAGCTCACATCATTATGCTGACCTACGTCAACATGCATCAGAATATCAGTTTAAAAAAAAAACCCATAGAACTATCCTATACCATATTTATTTCAAACGAACTATCTGAATCAAATACTTTCCCTCACTGCTTAAATACTTGCTATACCTTACAGGATTAATCTGAAACAGTCTACATAAGAAACCAGGGATGCTAACTTCTGACAGCCGAGAATTTAACCTCATAAATAATCAGTATTAAAGTTTATGGATGACTGAGGAAGTTCATGTTATATGCTGAAAAGTACAGCAGAGTCTAGACAGACTCAAGTAGAAATTTTTTCATATTTTAAGACTGATCAAGTTAAAACAAGGCTGATTTTAAACAGACAATTATCAGTATAAATGCTTTATAATTTTATAGATCTTAAAAAGAAAAAGAACTAACCTCGCTTCTTCTCCACTTTCTTAACTTCTGGCTTCTTCCCTTCATCTTTATTCTGCCTATCAAATGTTAACACAAAGATTTCACAACACTGGAACTTTGCGACTAATTACCAAAATGCCCACGATCGCTTAAGGTTATCTTCCTTAAAATGAAAACAGAACACTAAGAATTCACTGTATGTACAACATAACAGCACTAATAAAAAAATTCAAGTAAATTCTTCTAAAAATGTTATTTTTAGTGACATCACAAAGTCATCTTTAGGAAGTCATGGTGAAATTTTATTTCCAACATTAAGTAGTGTTTTGTTGAAAATTACCAATGAATACAGGTAATGATAGGAGTGGAATGCCTAAGAGTATTTCAGATTCTACACATCAGTTATAAAGACGCATATTTGGAGAGACCAGTCTTATTTCCCCCACATCTCTAAAGAGTAGATAATGAGGGATTTGACAATTGGTTTTAACACCCAAGCTATCCTGTTAATACTGTTAAGCCAATTAAATCAACATTCACATACCATTTCAACAAATGAAAAGGTACTAATTTTCTGGCAATCACAAAAAAATAAACCTCTTAAAAGAATTCTTAACAATTCGATTTAGGCCACATTATGAACCAAACTGAAATAGACAAGAACAAAAAAAATACCTAAATTCAGTTTTTTTAAAAAAACCTTTATTTTAAAATTTTGGTTACAGTTTCATTTTTTTTTTTCTTAACAAGTCTACTACTGTTTAATCTCTCAGTATATTTAAAAAAAAACAAAAAAAAAAAAACAATTAAGATTCTAAAGAAACAACAAGGAATGTCCAGGTCAGGGCACAACCACCCCATTCTCAGGGATGTTAAGAGCTATTCCAGTTTAATACCTAGGTTCAAAACAAAATGAATTTTTATATTTTCTAAATGAAATAATGTACAACCACCATCTTCATCTGAGCTTGTTATAACTTTAAATACACAAAGCTTCATGTTTAAGCTTGGTTAAAAACTTTCTAACAAGAATGATGGCTGATTTAATATGTAGTGTATACCTTACAGGAAAAATTTTAAACAATTGAAAACACAGTAATAATGCCATTAGTAATGAAGTCCTCAATTTAGTGTCTGGAACATTCTTCCATCAAGGGGGGAAGGGGAAAATTCAGTCCAATGAGTCTGTCTCAAGATCTTCGTCTCTGCTTTGCTCCACTTGTATTCTCTTTTCAGTAACTGGATTAATGCTTTGAGCCCAAAATGAGATATATTTTTTATTACTGTAGATTACATGTTGTTTGGCTGGGAATACAATACAATAAACTTTATTTTGCATAATGCATTTCATACAAGCTGCATCTGAAATGCTTTACAGAGCAAAACTGTCCAAGTACAAAGTTTTGTAATAACAAGAGAAGGAAAGAAAACACAAATATTAGAATTTGAGAAAGTTACATTTGGAGGACATTCAAAAAGAAATTGAAATACATAAAAGATAAATGAGGATTGGGCTAGATTTACTAAGCAAAAGTGTGTGTTTAAAAAAAAAAATCTTTAGTTTGGGGCATATTAAAGTTTAAACCAACAGTCCGACAGCTTTTCAAGTAGAAACAAACTGGTAACCAACCCCCCTAAAAAGGAACCTTAAAATATTTACATAAATGATTAATGTCTAACAAATTAGAGGGAATAACATGTCTGACCTTTAAATTGAGTTAATTACTCCCTCAAGCAGATGAAACTACTTCTATATCCTCCAAGAGAACATGGTAAAATGCTGTAGATATAGACTTGAAGTTTACGAATTTTTTTTTTAAACAAAATTGTTTTACTATCCTCCCTTCGTGACAGACCTAAAGCTTATGTAAAAACCAATCTTACTGAAACAACAGAATTTAGTGGGAACAGTGTTAAGACACACTTCACAAAGAAAAGCTTTTCAGAGAAAAGTAATCAGAAGTGATACTTTAAAGAAACTATGAAAACAAGTCTAATAATCATTAATTACCATTGGTATTATAATAAAACTAATGGGGAAAGGTATTCCCCCAAAGTAAGTACATACTGTAAGTAACAAAACTTAAGAACTTTGATCGTTCTTATTTCACACATCTAATAATGTAAACTCAAGCCTGGCTTCTCAGGTTTCCAACTGTGCTTTTGTTGTTTTTGCTGGTCTTTTGTGGGTAACCTGCTTGTAGTATGTAACAAGGATATTTCTTAAATTCTTTTCCCACCAAAATTACCAAATTTTCTGTATTATTACTAGTTTTTCTGTACAGTAGAGGGTAAGTTCTTTTTTCTACGAAACTACTATTTGTACTTTGCATTAAATTAACAATTCACTGGCTTGTTACTCCTCAGTGAATTTCATCCTCAGAAAAACAATGAAACCAGGACTATAATGTACAGGTATTTCTCTAGCATTTGGGAATGTCAGTTCTTTTAAGAAGGCTTCAAAATGAAGGTTAGTAAATGAGATACTACTTCAAAGAGGACAAAATATACGATTTAAAAAATACTTACTGCTCAGTTTCCACTTGTTCCTCCTGCTTACGTTTTCGATCTGTTGCCTCTTTCTCATGCTGCCCTTTTAGGGTATTTCTCCTATGAGTAGTCTGAAAGTTCCTGCCACCTTTTCGTTTCTGTTTTGAGAATTAGAATGGATTTAATCAGTGATTAACATTTATACGAATATCATTTCAAGGGGTGGGAGGCAGTGAGTTTTTAAAATAATTTTAACATTGTAACTGAAAAAAAAAAAATCTTTGCATTAACCACATCTCCTTGTGGCTTTGCTGATTGGCAGAACAGTTTATGCCCCGTTTATAATTCTGCCTTCTAAAATACTGTTTTATAAAAATGAACAAAAAGAGGGTTACTTACACAAAAAGTGCTTTAATTCTCAAAACAATTAAGGCGCTAAAATAAAAAGTTCCAGAGAAAATATCAAGTAAGGCCTGAAGTGTGCTAGCAGTCTCTTTAGGATTTAAGGGGGGGAAATCCAATCTGTGTTCCTGATTCTGATCCTATGTCATATACCCAAGTCTACAGTATACAGGACAGTGAAGCTCAGGAGGTACAGCTTGGTTTGTGTCCAACCTCTTGGCAACCTCTGTGATGCTGTGTTCATTATGTAAAAACACATCTCTCTTGAGTGGTGAGTACTACCGAGTCCAAACCAACTCATGATTGACCCTCCCGCATGTTTTCAGCAGCAGTTAAATTGCATGCAAGGAATGCTTATCTTTTTCCTACAGAGCACCTGGTGGATTTGAACCAAGTACCTGTGCTGTGGGTTGACCATTAAGCCTACTTTGCTTACAGTTTATCTTGCCTAATATTACAAGTGAAACTAGGGGGAATGTAACACGTAATATTTACTACCCACATAAGACTCAAGTCTACTTGGCAAAGCAGAGAACTTCAGTCCCTCTGGTACGCAGTCCCAGGGTAGCACAAACGGTTAAATGCTCAGTGAGTCAACCTTTTTTTTTTTAGCAGATCAAATTCATGCAGAAGCAACCGAGGAAGAAAGGCCTCACCATCTACACAGTAGTTAAGACTAGGAAAAGGCAAGGAGAGGCCTGAGACATTCACAATAAGTCCTTTTAACACCAAGGACTGTCTACCTTTTCACCTTCCTGGTCATCCCCTTCTTCTTCAGAGTCAGAGGTGGATGGAACCCCTACTTTCGGTAGATTTTTCCTTTTGGATTCTACTTCTTTCTTCCCTTCTTTCTTTTCTGGCTCTTTTCGTGGCTTTTCTTCTTCTTTTTGGCCTTCTTCATCCTTTTTCAGCTGTTTTTTGGGTGGCTTTTCTTCCTGACCCTTTTTCTTACTTTTGTCTTCTTCAGTAGCCCTATTTCAGAGTACAGTATTAAAAAAAAAGTTTTCATATATCTTTAAATACCTGTCACTCAACTAGACTTGAAGTTACTCGGTTTTTTTCATTCAAAGCAAATGTGAAACATTTAAAGTGAATTAGGATGGCATCTCTATCATTCAAGTATAAAAGTTTGTAAAAGGAAGTCTCTAAATCCTGTTTAAATTAGACAGGAAAGAAATAGTTATGTCACATTAGAAGTGAGAAAACACGAGATTCCCTAGTTATTAGCAGGTGATTTGATACTTTGCAGATTCAGAGCAGAGACTAAGATGGGTAAAAGCCTCAACTCTTATGAGCTTATTCTATTTTAAATGTTAATAAAAAGAAAAGTTTGTCTCAATACTTAAACACTATGAAAATATACAATTGCAGAACTTCAATTAAATAAGGTAATTTAAAATGTAAATTCCTTTGTAGGCTAAAAATACTATAATTGTATATAATGGTAAACTAAGCATCACTTTTAGTATTACATTAAACCATAAATTAAAGTCTGATGTCTCCATTCCATAATGACTGGTGCCACTGTTATAGAATGAGGCTGGCATTGGGGTGGGAGTAAGACTGAGA